GAAAACTTCAGTCAGGATATCTGGTGGCCCTGCCAAGATTCGAAGTAAGTACTTTCCGAATACAAGTCAGGAGAGATATCTCTGGAACAACATGTTCATTGTTAAATATATCGTCATTGGTGAGCGAGAGGTAAAAACGGCAAAATTTTCCTTGTGCTTAATTAATTAAGCACCACGCCATGAAGACGTAAAGAGGTAACAGATTTACTGTATGTAGTTGATCGTTTATTTGCAGAGACACGGTGTAATCTATTAAGAAATGTATTTCTTAATGGCAGTCCAAAAAACTAGTAAAGTGTAAGCCGAGAGATACGTGAATTTAAAATTGCAGTCTCTAGCAGAAATGTATACCAGAAATTTTCCCGGAGTTAAAATGACGGCCGGCGCCTAGGGCTGATAACTTCGCTGCCATCTGTGAGTCGATTTTCTAGAAAATGTGGGAGCCTCCACGTCTCACAATCTAATTGGTCTCGACGGCCTCTTACAGGAATAGCTTTTACTTTTTGAAAGTGGAGAGATAAAGTTGGAGACATAACGGACACACTTATTTTATTTACATTAGAGCGACTTTTCATTTATCGAATTCAGTACAAGGTTCGATAGTAAATTCAAGTGACATATTGGCCTTTCGAAAGCCCCATTGCCTTTTAAAATGTCGATACGTTGGAGTGATGAACAATTCAGCGATATAAATCGATACTTTTTCTGAGCAACCTCTCTTCCCGGATGTCGTGTCACTGGACGCTTGTGACGATGTTCACTTGGTGGGAAAGTAACTTCCAGAAATCAGTTTTATACGGCTCATGCGCTGTTCATTACACTTCGCTTCGACAGCTTAGCATACGAAACTACATCGTGGCTTCAATGTCGGTTAACCGTTTGGTTGGCGGGTCTACAGACAGGATTCGTCTCATAACTCCGTCATTCTCATGTGATGCTTGTAATTTGAATATGTCAGGCTGCGTTGCGGGGTGGGTGGCCAGAAATCGTGACTGGATGATATAGAGAGCCACCCCATTGTAGTTCAGTCTGAATTCAGAATTTACATCCATCAATCCGTCCGTCCGTCCGTCCATTCATCCATCTACCTACCTATACATCTACCCATCTATAGCCCTTTGTTGGGCTTTGGCCATATTTTCAGTGTCTTGATCTTTACGAGTCGGTAAGACTCCTTTGACGGGGGATCAGCCCATCGTATGGCCGCTACCCACACACGGGAGAGCTCAAACACAGAATAAACGCCACACAGATATCTATGCCTCAAGTGGGATTCGAACTTACGACCCCAGTGTTTGAGCAGGCGAAGATAGTTCATGCCTTAGACCGCGCAGTCACTGTGATCGGTAATTTGTCTCTATTAGGGATCTGAAACAAGAAACAAACTGATTAAACAATAATTAATCGATCTCCATAATTATTTCGTTACATATTTCCCAATTTCATATAAATTGCAGATGTGCCGGAAATAGGCTGAACAGGCTTCTTGTCTCAATGGTCGGACACCATTCAAAGGTTACTGCTCCCTGTGCACCGCCATTTTGCTGACAAACAATACTCTTCTGTAGTTGCCACCTACGTTTCAAATCACTGCTGTTCTCTCGTTGTGAGGTACTGCTCGTATTAAAGAAGTTTCAAATTAGACCGGTACCTAAAGTAACGTTATTCTTCGAGAATATTCAGTTTCTCAGAGAACTGAAACCAGAAGCTCCTCGACACACTCATCTGTGTCTTATTGCCCATTAGATGCTCGGCCTTCGGCCGCCTGAAGTCTCGGCTTCGTATTTCAGATCCTAACTCCTAGCAGGCGATTCGACCATTCCCGGTAAAGAAATGTACTGTATATCCCAAGAATTTAAACAAATAGTTTGTATTGACATATGTAATGTGAAGAAAGAAGATGTTACAATAATATTTTTTCGCTTCTTTCGGCTGGAGAAGCTATCCATGTTGAACCCCACAGCTGATGCCATGTGGCAGTCCTACTGACAACTGCAGCCAGTCTGCTGGCAATTTCCGCTATTTCTCTCTGATTTCAAACTGTCAGTCAGTAGCTCAATCAGCTTCTATTCCACATTAATGTTTTCATGAATAGTTTGTGATTGTGCGAACTGCAATTTAGTGTATTAGAGATAAGGTTTTCTTGATCAGCCAAATAAACGTCTGAAGAGGGACTCGTCGAATTGACTGATGTAGCGGTAACGCGTATTCGGGAGATGCTGAGTTGCAATCTCGGTTGAGACTCTGAATATCCTGAGTTATGTCATAGTTTTCCTCAGTAAATCCCGAAAATGCCGGAATAGTACCGCGATTAAAACCATGACGGTTCCCTTCCAAATACTTTTCTATTTATTATCCACGCATCTTGCATTTGGCGGTATATACCAGTAGTCTCAGCTACCGGTAGCCTAGCAAAATATACCACAGGGTGCACCAGCAAATACTGCATCATGGCGATGCATAGTTCGGTATCGGTACCCCTGTATAGCTCCAAACGTTCGTCCTTTCGTCTCCGCTTTCTTCATTTCTCTTCCCTCGCCTTTATTGTCTTCCTTCCCAAGTTTTCTTCAAGCGCCCTCCTCGTAATTGTTTCTTGTTGCACTGAGGTATCAGAACGGAAAAATTACTTGCGTCTCCGGTCCATTGCTGATGGTCCTCGCCAGCACAGTGAATCTTGTTTCCAAGTCCCATGGCAATCAGGGCCATAATTTGCTGTCTCAGATTCGAGAGTCCCCAAACTTGGAGGACCAGTTCCCCTTATTTATGTCCCCCAGGAACAGGGTGGCCCAGTTGTACCTCCAGGCACTGGGTTCCCTTTTCGTCGCCTCCTACGACTCGCAGAACTACAGTGGGGTTATTCGAACCCACCTCATCACCGGCTTCGAATTAGGTCTAGTTACATAGCCTCGGGACGGACCCCACAGAAAACACCGCCTACAGCAGTTCATCTATTGTTGCGTGCGTAGCTGTTGCAGTGGTCATGAGAGGTTTACTGACCGTTGCGTAGTAACAAGTGTTCGGTCGTGTGTTTACAGGGTCGTTGCGCGACTCTCAGTAGCGTGAGAGAGTAAAATATGGCCATGAATCCCGCGGGCCTCTCAACCGAGAACCACTGTGCTGGCGAGGACCAGCAGCAAGTTACCGGAGAGAGAGAGAGAGAGAGCAGCTCCCTTGCACAGCTGTCCGTGCTGCTGTCAGCAGACATTCCACTATACGTAAAATCTAGATATGCGCATGCGTGCGCGTCATATGTTGTTGATTGTTTAGGCTCGAAACTTGTGTATGATAAGATATAGATAATAAATTATTTTGGAAAGGTTACTTTCATGACCTACATGCTTACATGGAAGAGTCTATCTGAACATTTGCGTCGCAGCTACATTCCAGCAATTCGTGTCTCTGAAGTAATGAACATGGACAGGAAGTTATAATTGTATTTAATCTCACGGGGTCGTATGCAATCACGAACAGGAAACTAGGGTCGTGTGGAAATATATTTCTCTAACAGTTCAAATATTTCCCATTACGACATCTAATTATTCATTGGCGTCGAAAATCGTATATAGGAGACAGACAGCTACTGCTCCAAAACTAATCACACTCAATTTATTTTTCTTGTGGCATGCAGACCCGTTGCTAGGCGGCGAACGCGAGAGAGGCGACTGTACGGCGGCCGTTGCTGGGCAGCGGCCCGCAAACAGCAAAGGATTGGTTCCGCCAACAGACACGAATGCAAAAGTGGAACGCAACAGAGGAACGGTGTTTTCTACGCGGTCCGTGCCGTGATATTATAAGCGGAACAGTTTGAGAGAGGAGGTTGGTGTAAGGTGGCCGCCAGCCTGGGAGTTAGTGGGGTGCCGTGAGTTGGTTGGTAAGTGAGTGAGTTAGAGGACCGCTGCGATCCAGTCCTTGTGAGCTGTTGCTGTTAGAACTGGTAGCTGAGGCAGGGCGATATTCGGAAGCCCAGAGTAAGAGGAACGACTGCCATTGGAAGCCACTACCAAGCAACGGCTAGTGAAGACTGAGAAGACTTTAAATGTGCTGTAGTTACAGTGATCTTTGGAGTGTGTAATTCAGTGAGACTGTAGTTACAAGTGTAAGGGTCGAATGAATCCCACTGTCAATCCAAATCCTTCTGGAGTCATACTCAGTCACGTGACAGTACATAAACATGGGTATGGATATGGAAATGATGAAATGAGAGCTCTGTAATCACGCGATTCGGGTTACCTTAGAGAGAACCCGTCGAGCATTAGAATGTTGCAGGAACGGAAGTTAAGTAAGAGATCACGAATGAGTAGAAGGCTTTTGTTTCTGTATATCGTGTGTACTGCGTGTGTCTTAACAATATTTTATCTGGATCACAGTGGCCGGGCGGTCTAAGGCATGAACTGTCTTTGTCCGCTCGAAAGTTGGGGTCGTTGGTTCGAATCTCACTGGAGGCAAGGATGTCTGTGTGCGTTTATTCTGCCTTTGTGGTGTGTAGAGGCTTTGCGACGGGCTCATCCCCCGTCAAAGGACTCCTACCGACTATGCATAGGATTACGAAGCCGAAGAAAAGCAGCCATGGCCCAACAAAGGGCTGTAGAGTTATTGATGAATGAATGAATACTATGTAAAGGAAACTGTATATGATTAGTCTTATGGGTGTTCTTCGTGAGAAATGGCATTAAAATATAATATGGAAGGCTAGAAATGAATACGGGGCAAATCATGGGAAGTTAACAGGAGGAAAGTTCGTGTAAGAAATGAGGAGTCTTGCCGCTGAATTTTCATCGATTGTTGCGCTAGCATTGCATAAACATTCCCGTGAAACTAAAAATAATTGAGGCCACGACGCTGATGATAGTCATGACAAGTGCAGTAATTGTAATACTAGACGCGGTGATAAATGTTGGCAAATTAAGTTTGAAGGCTGTAACCTACTTGTTTACCTGTACGAGATGCGCATGCGCAAGAACAAAAAACTTCGCAAGATGCGCCGCGACGACGCATGAAGTTCCGCGTCTGGGAACCAGTCCGTCAGTTGCTTTCTGCAAGACGGCGGGCCCCGCGTGCTCGCCTGCTGTGAGCCCCACGTGCGTGTCGGCATGCCACGCCGTCTTGTGCACTGTCTCGCGGTAGAGCTTGTCACACAGATGATGTTTCAGCTTCATGAACACGCTGTAGATGGACCGGCAAGGGTCTGAAAACTTAACCTTGAGACCATTCAGGTCTAACTTTCTAAATCCGACGAGACTGATTGCTTGTTTGCACGCCAGGGCACCAAGTTTTTGGAAACAGTGCTAGACTCCCCCTTCCCACCTACCGACCCTTGGTCAACAGTTCAAGTTCAAGATTTCAGATTGCTGCCGACAACTGTAAGCAGCTCAGCTGACAAATTGTTCCACGACACAGACGCCTGTTAGCTTTAACTCGAAGAATGTGGTGACATCTATGGCATCCAGCAGAAATTGTGTTTGCTCTTCAGACTGGTAAGTCTCACGGAAATGAAACACTCTTAATTACATTTTATAAATACTATAGCGTGTAGAGCCGTTGTTATGTAACGACCGCGAGATGGGGAGATATACCAGGGCCGTTTCCAGGCATCAGCACAGTAAACACATTCCCGCAGAAACAGACACGAACGCAACAATAGATCTGTGTTTTCTACGTAGTCTGTGCCGAGAATGAGCTTACTCAGTTCTGTACGGGAGTCTGTGAAGAGAGGATTTGAGCCGGAGGCAGAGGAATAGTCATTGTTGGAGCTGTTACCAGGAAACGTTTAGAAACAGAGTGACAATACTAGACTGTGTGCTCTAGTGAACTGTAAATTGTGCAAATAGCGATACTGTTATATTTATTTATGGTTACGACATGTAAGCGGTCAATAAATAGAGTCACTAATACAAACCCCGTCTATAGTCACACATACACCTGATAATATAATTATCTTCGTAATTATATTGTAGTATATTTTAGCCCTCTGCCATATTTCAATTAGGAAATAACTGGTGACGTTATGAATCTTACAGAAAGTAGGCAGGAATCCATGGATGAGCGATCGGCCCATCTCAAGACACTAACACATGAGTAGAATACAAAATGGATATACATGTCCAGAGAGGCGTTCAAATACATGACTCCAGGCGCGGCAACGTCTGGGATCTTCTCAAATAAATACAATAACGTCTTGACGCAAACTGCGGATGAGAAAACTGTGGGCGAGAACAAATTTTGTGGTTTTCTTGCAGACAGGCATATCTCTGGGAGGCGATAATGTGAACAGTGACATTATTGCAACACAAGCTCGCCTCTTCCCTGACAATGTATGTATGAAGTGAGATGCAATGATTGTATCGCTGCGCTGACACAGAAATGGAACGCAACACTGTTGTCTGTACTGTTTTGTACGCGTGGCATATTGACATACGTACACATGACAATTGAGTGTATCGCTGCGCTGACACAGAAATGGAACGCAACACTGTTGTCTGTACTGTTTTGTACGCGTGGCATATTGACATACGTACACATGACAATTGAGTGTATCGCTGCGCTGACACAGAAATGGAACGCAACACTGTTGTCTGTACTGTTTTGTACGCGTGGCGTATTGACATACGTACACATGACAATTACCACGGAACTTGGAACAGTGAATTCATTTCAGTGGGGATAAATATTAATTCCGTAATAAAACATCATTTCCTCAGATCGTGGCCAACCAAACTTATAAGAACGCTCAGAAGAAATATAAAGCTAAAGAATTATGTTGCGCCGGTTCAAAATTTTGTGTACAAAACCGTGGTGTGTTGCAAAACGTTTATGACCAAATCTGCAATCAGAAAATCACAAAATAATTTAAAAATTTACTCCTACATCTCAAATTTTGCATGTATTTATTGAATAGTGTTCCTGACATTTAACAATCGAAGGACAATTCCATACGGAAGTTTCAGGACTCTCCGACATTCTGAGCCAAGGCACCTCTGTTCTGTGTTGTGCCCCCACTCTATACCTGTAGCTCTTGTCACGTGGTAGTTTCATGTAGTTCGGGTATTCACAGAAAGATACGACGTGTATGTCTGAAGTAAGGGAAAGACAATAAAGTAATGGAACAAATATATAATTGTAAGTAATTGGCCCACAGAATATTCTGTTTTCAAATGAGGATATAATTAACGGTTGCCTGAAGATGGTCTTGTAGGGACGAAATATGTTGCAACAACTAAATATAAGGCGATTTTAATGACATTTTCTTAATTTTAAACGTGACTGTAAATGACATTATAAAATAAAGTTTTGTGTTGCATTGGAGGCGGAAGGAATTGGACAAGTGGCATAAAACTGGGCACATTCCCCAGTTCGTATTTAACAACGAGTAGAACTCCGAGACAAAAAGAAATACTCTGGAAAGCATAAAACTGAAATTTTATAATGTTATGGCGCTGAATTGCTGCTGAGTGAAAGGGATAAGGAAAATCGAATTTGCTGAAATGGAATTCATAAGACTTGCCCTTTTAATACCAAACCATCAGTTTGGCTTTCGATGAGCTCACTCAACCACCCAACAAAGCCATCGCATAGCAAGTACCATAACAAAGGCGATAAATAACAAACAATACTGCACAGCAGCATTTCTAGATATAGCTCAGGCTTATGACAAAGTCTGGCATCCTGGCTTACTTTACAAAATAAAAAGAATCTTCCCAACATATTATTACAACCTACTCAAGTCATATTTAAGCGAAAGATTTTTCGAAGTCAAAATAAATGAGGAAATATCCAACCGCCTACCAATCCTCTCAGGGCTGCCCCAAGGAAGCTTACCAAGTCCACTACTATGCACTCTCTACACACATGATCTACCCACAACAGAGAAACGATAACAGGAACTTTTGCAGATGACACTGCTATCTTCGCTACCCACGGCCATCCAACCGCAGCCTCCTCTCATCTACAGGATCGTCTAATCCTCATAGAAGCATGGCTAAACAAATGGAAAATCAAGGTAAAGGAATCAAAGTCCAAACAAACAACTTTCACCCTCCGAAAAGGCAGGTGGCCCCCCCTGCAAATAAATCACACCAACATACAACCAAAATAACAGGTCAAATACCTAGGATTAACCTTTGACAACAAACTAAACTGGAGACAACACATAATCAATAAAAGAAAACAGATGGACCAAAAAACCAAAGAACTCAACTGGCTCATAGAAAGAAAATCCCACCTCTCCATCGGAAACAAGTTACTAATCTACAAAACAATCATCAAGCTTATATGGACTTACGGCATAGAACTCTGGGGCTACGCCAGCAAATCCAATATTGCCATTATACAGCGCGCCCAGTCCAAAATACACGGAACCATCACGAACGCACCATGGTATGTATCCAACCGCACCCTACATACAGATCTAAAAACTCCTTACGTAAGTGAACAGAACAGCACCAAGTACTTCAACAAACTATAAAATCACTCCAACCCTCTTCTTCAACCTCATGAAAATCGAAGACTCAAAATAAGTTGGCCATCAGATCTAACGAACTGAGGAAAACATCACTGGATGTTTATTCCGCACACGCCAGAAGAGTGTACAATAAAAACGTTTAGTTACTAACTTGTACACCAGTCAACACATTGACTTACAGAATGTACAGTCTGACTGTCAGTAAAGGAGAGAAATAAAAAAATACCCTTTTAGTGCTTTAACACAGAAAGAAAATTGTTAGAAAGATAATATCTGACGGAGGGACAAGAGCAACAATAGAAGCGTAGCTTAGAAATATATTTTCAAAAAGAGTTTTATTCACAATCCAAAAAACAGAAAATTTCTGCCTTCTGAGATGTAACGCCATGTACTCCCGCGTAAGTCGACAAACGTTTCGTACGGAAGTGCTGCTTCTATCTTCAGGGCTGAAGAGTAAGCGAAGCAATAACACAGCACATTGCTTGCTGCGTCTTTCAAGCTGGTTTCGCGCTTCGATTACTTTTCAGTCGTGAAGATGGAGACGATATGTTCTTCCGACACGTCTGTTGACTTTCACCGGACTGTACGGCGTTACATCCCAGAGTATAGAACACTTCATAACCCCTTTTTCATAAGCTCAAATCTTTCATAAAGCAGAACAGAGATCGAAATCATCAAAATCATTGTCTTTTACATCACCATCAACTGCTTCTAATAACTTTATTGTCTGAGTTCTGACAACGTTTAGTCTTCTAGAATCTAGAAGACTAAATATGTTTCGGAGGGACTTTCTGCCTCTGTCTTTAGGGTTGAAGGGAATATGATTAGGTTACATAAGATGATATAGCGCTGCAGTTCAGCAGACCACAACGTGAATGTCCACCTCCATGAAATCGCCGTAGCTTATAGCAGATGCTTCTGTCCACGCCTGTCGCACGCCAAAGAGATCGGCTGTGCTGCTGTGTGTGCCGGCGAGACCGCTTTAAAGGGAAGCATTCTGTTCTGTTCGTCTTCCCGCGACATCAACTTTAGTCTGCGCGTTTTGCGTAGCTAATTTGTTCTGTTTTGTTCCTTACAATTAGATCAAACTAAGAATTTAGAAGCCCACAAGGAGGATGTGATTTCAAAGATCTGAAAACTTACCAGAACTTTGTTCTGATTTCCTGAAACTAATTGCAGAATAATTAGTTTCTTTTATGGCTTACTGGAGACTGCTCTTTGGAGGAGCTGCGTTATGTTACGATATGTAGCTAAACTCTACGTGCATTTCATAGTTCACTCGGAAGGAACAAACACACTGAGAACAAAATATTACTGTTGAGTCATTGCCGCTTTTACTTCGTATTCTAGAGACTGTGGTTTCAATTCTCGACTATTGACTTTCTCCAGTCCCTCTTGACAGATTACTGTCACGACATAGAGTGACTACAGACGGTGTTTGTATTTGTAGTCGGATTTATTGAACTCTTTAATAATTCGTGACTGACACAAACACACACAGGCACGCAAGTTTTCTCAGTCTGTTATAGCCTCCAATAGCCCGTTGCTTGGTAGCGGCTTCCAACAGCGGACGTTCCTCTTGATCTGGGTTCACGAACTGTTCCCGTCCACAAATACCAGCTTCTCACTTGCCACACCTGGAAGTCTCAGCTTAGAGTCAGAGTTACTTCAAGACTAGCGGGTTACTGCCAATAACTTTGTCTTGACGCCAAGCCCCTTGAGACTTGCGACCAGTGATTTATTTCTTGCAACTGAACCCTTTGGGTCATAGCCCTTATGTAACATCCTCTCTGACGAGGAATGGGTTTGTCTCTTATGAATACGCTTGGCCTATCATCAAGTGTAGGCATCGCACATATAGCGTGTTACTGAAAATGCTGTCTCAGCTGTCTTGCTTATAACATCTCAGCACTGACTGCATAGAAAACACCGTTCCTTTATTGCAGTACAAGTGTTGCCGAGGTAACGTGCTTGTTTGCGGAGCCATTGTTTAGCAACGGTTGTTGTACAGCTGCT